ATAAAAAGAAATGTACAGAAGAGGAATCTCCTCACAATGACCTTCCATGAGTGAGTGAGTGAGTGAGTGAGTGAGTGAGTGAGTGAGTGAGTGAGTGAGTGAGTGAGTGAGTGAGTGAGTGAGTGAGTGAGTGAGTGAGTGAGTGAGTGAGTGAGTGAGTGAGTGAGTGAGTGAGTGAGTGAGTGAGTGAGTGAGTGAGCGAGCTGGTGTCGTAGTCCACAAAATTCCATCTATTATGCCCAAAAGAACTTAGAGACTACCCGATTCGTTCATATCAGAAAGTCCATGTTTGCGGACTTGGTTTCGTCGCTATATGGCTGAAATAATGCTGATGTGATGTAAAACTCAACTCAACTCAACTCAACAACTCAACAACTTTCATATCAGTATAGTTCATACATCCTGGCATGAAAGATGAACTATGACAGTGTGAAGGAATCATGAAACCACATATTAGCTAAAATAATATCAAAGAATCAGGTGTTCACAGTTATTTGGAGTGGTATATATCATCTTGGCTTGTGAATAAAAAGTCTTGACCATTCTAGCACATAGCACATAATGATAGTCTTTATCAATCATTTTATTGAGGCTAGAGACACAGAGGAGTGAGTGAAATCATGAGCAACATAACCAATGAAACAGATTTCTTATCAATATCAACCCGGCACATAAGTGATACATACCAATAATTTCCATCAGTCACTTTTTTTTTACACTACTTACATGAAGTACAGAAAATGTTTCATTAATATTTTTGAAGATCATATCATGATTAAATTCTTCAGAGGTTATTTTGGCAATGTCATTGGCATCAAAAAACAGAATTTCAAAGTATAATTTGTAACATATATTTTGGTGAGAAAATGAACAATTATGTTTTCATGCACAGTAATACTTCATACTTCAATATGAGTTGAAGTAATTGTCAGCAGAAAGGTAAACTACAAATTCTACATACTTTTTAAACAGTGTCCTAATTATATGCCCCTCAAATCAAAGCCAATACATTTAAAAAAAGTGGGAACATGACATGTTACAAAAGCTTCAATTTGTTTTTTGCTATGTTTGGAAGTGTCTCCATTTGTCAATGCACATATGTGCCACTCACTCACAGTCTGCATGGCACAAGATGGATGACAACAAGACACTCCGACAGACAAGATGGATGACAACAAGACACACAGACAGACAAGATGGATGATGACAAGACACACAGACAGACAACAAGATGGCCGAACACTGCCCCCTGTGTTAGTAAACCATGGCAGCAGGTACACATACACTCAGACTGACATGACTGACAGACATGGGGCTGATGGCCATCACAGATACACCTGTCGGAAGATAGTGTAAACATAATTCAGCCCAGAGACTTCTTCCAATCAGTGTTCATAGCTGGAACACTTTGTTAAAAGCCCTGTTTCCAAAAATGCACTCATCTCTCCAGCTGTCAAAACTCCTTCCTTTAAACATAGGTTTTGACAGTCGCAGCAATCCTGAGTGTTTTCTTGAAAACCACTCAGAGTGGCATGGTTAAAGGAGCATTTTACACCTGGGAAACACTTTCTTCAAACTCGCTTTAACATTGGGATCTAACTCGGTTGAGTTTGCAGTTACTTTAAACATTATTTTAGTCATATAACAGCATGTCAGATAAAGAGGAAGGAATTCCATAAGAGTGAAAGTGTGAGTTTGGTTTTATGCCACTTGTAGCAATTTTTTAGCAATATCATGGCGGAGGACAGCAGAAATGGGCTTCACATATTGTACCCACGTGGGGCATCGAACTCAGGCTTTCAGCGTGAAGAGCGAATGCTTAAACCACTAGGCTACCCCACCGCCCCGAATTCCTTAAGAAATGCAGGTCAAACACATAATCACGCACACATTCGACTGAAGATTCTTATTAAAGTGATTCAGGGATCTGAACTCATACCAGCAGATCCTGCAGCACAAAAGGAAACAACTACACCACAATGGACCACAGGGACAACTAAACCTCTCTTTCGATAGAGGTTTATAAAAATTTCAAGGCAACTTTGAAAAATGGACATTGTCAACAGGATGGATTAAAAACATTTTCTCCTTCCTTTCAACTGACAGGTACACCAGATGCATTATAGAGAACACGAAGAAGACGATGTTCTGCCATATGCACATACATCACAGTGGACAAAAAAGCCAGTAACTTACTCGGCAAACACTGGTATAGAAGCACACTGACACATGCCATGCTCCCAAGATGTATCAAGTCACATCACCATCAGTTACTCACAGTAGTGGTGGTCCGATTAATTGAAATAATCAAAGATTGGTCGCAGTGACTAAACGACCAAGCAATCGAACATGTTTTCTCATAATCGAACACGACCAATCTTGGAACACTTGTTTGCATTAACAATATTTTTCACAAGGCTGGTTTTGTCTGTGTCATTAAATTTACATTTCATAAGCACTACATGTACAAGCTCGTTCCAAGTCATGATTGAATTTATCTTAAAGAATCCAGGAAATATGTGTTCCTAACATACTAATCATCATTTAAATATGCAAAATTTGCAAATGGACTTTATGCAATTTGCAAAAAACCCACCAAATTACTACGTTTTTTCTTTATTTTTTTGTGCATTAACAAAAATAACAGGAACATTTGATAAATGACGCTAACCAATTATTTTCGATGATTGATCGGTTGTAATGGACCAATCATCAATTATTAGATTTTAACCAGTTCCCAACACTTACTGTGGGTATAACAGTTTGAAACACTGTTTAGAGAAAATCTGTTGTTATCGAGGATGCCGCAAGATAAACAACACTTGAGTGCAATACCACAGTCATCACCCATGTAAGAGTGAGTGAGTGAGTTTTAGTTTTATGCCGCTTTTAGCAATATTCCAGCAATATTACGGCAGGGAACACCAGAAATGGCCTTCACACATTGTACCTATGTGGGGAATCGAACCTGGGTCTTCGGCGAGATGATTGAACATTTCAACCATTGGGCTACCCCACCGCCCCCAACCATGGAAGAAATGTTGGATCTAAATGTTGTTTCTAAATGTCAAAGCCACCAAATAACCTACATCAAAGGTGAGTTATAAGGAGAAATAAAGGTTGAAACATTTTTGATAGTCTGTCTCTCAGACCTTTGGAAATAAAAATCAATAAATATATGAATCCAACTCAGGAATCAAAGTCAGGAATGATTTTGCTAGTCTACATTTCCTCAGTTCTAATAAATTGAGATAAGAATATATTTCTTTGAAATATGTTTTTAAATAAGACTATATTTTCTTTAACCTAATGCTAGTCAACAGTCTTGAGTCAGTTGTTTCCTCTTTGAAGCCCCATGAATAATATACAATTGGGTCATCATATATCATGAAGTCGCAGCACACGCGGAATAAATGTCGTAGCTCCCTGATACACCTTCCCATACTTTACATGAGCTATTTCTCAACGACAGTAATTAAAGAGGCTAACTGAGAATGATTGTTTTAATTGTTTCCTTAAGCACTGTCTCTTCAAACGGAATTCCTGTCATATCCAAGACAACGAACATTAATAATATTCCTGAACAGAATATTAATTGCTTCCTTTGACAAATGGTACAAACATAAACCTTACATTAAACATCTGAGTTCTCTTTGAATTCAGCTAAATGCCTACAGTTATAATACAATGTCAAGCACGTACTTAAAACTCTGTGTTTTGACGGAAATACTAAATGAAAGGACGCTAAGTTAGCTGGCTACTTGAATCCACTCAAATGTTCATTGTGTACTGTATCTAAATCCATGTGTACAGTTTCTAAGCCGGACATTCCACTTTGTTAGGCGCTGGTTCTTAAGTGACAAGTATCACAAGGCAAGACTTCTTAAAGTCTCCACAAGAGACATTCTTGAAGGGTATTTGAATTGTGCTACTACAGTTGACCCCACTCACTCAAACCTTGTACCATACAAAGTGTTGTGAAGGTTGCACCAGTAAGGAACCCGAATATTGGACAGATTGGATAAACAAATTAGTTGTAGCTGAATGTGTGTTGACATCTTGTACCATTCCTTGTTTGCTACTATATAGATGTAGAAACTCTCCCAGGGACCGTTCCAAAGAGATCTTGGTGCTGAGACATTGTCCCATACCTTATTCCAGGGTAAGGAAAGTCTTTGTGCTGTGATAGCTTTGAATAACAGGGTCAACATATGAAAGATACTGTGGAATATTAGCCTCGTGTGCTGTAATTGCCTAACAGTACCTACTCATGCTCGCATCAAAGTAAATTTACCAATATTCTGTAACCAAACCACGAACACGAAACATGCTTCTGATCACCATTATAGTCAGATATGTAGTCTGTCTCACAATCCCTGAACCACATTATTTTCCCCCTGCCTAGTCTGTCTCTCAATCCCTGAACCACATTATTTTCCCCCTGCCTAGTCTGTCTCACAATTCCTGAACCACATTGCCTAGTCTGTCTCTCAATCCCTGAACCACATTATTTTCCCTACTGCCTAGTCTGTCTCTCAATCCCTGTACCACATTATTTTCCCTACTGCCTAGTCTGTCTCTCAATCCCTGTACCACATTATTTTCTCTTCTGGTAGCGTTCTGCAATGCTCATGCCCTAAGTGAAGCAAGTCTAGATTTCCTCAGGTTCAGGTCCCATCTCCCTGGGGCTCCTTTTCAATTAAAAAGGAATTGTTTGTTTCTATCAAAATTATATATATTCAGAGACTAAGCATTAGTCTATCAGAGTCAGGCGACGACTCGAACATTATGGGATTTAGACCGGACTTCCAGGTGACATGAAAGTGGGTCGAGGACGAAGATGGTTGTCAGTACTGCTTCAAGGTAGAACCTACATTAGTGGTTTACAAAGCAAGAAATTCAGAGATGGTATTTGGACTTATTGATTTCTTCAGTCAAGTCTTTGACATTTGTCCGTGCAGATGGAAATGTCAAATAAATCATCAAATAAATTCACTTACCTGGTACACTGATGTTCACACACTGCCAAAACTCATCCTGAAAGCAACAAATTAAAACTTGAGTAAAACCCCCAAATACATCAAGTATATGTTCGTCCATAATTATATAATCACCATTGTTGAAACATGAACATACATCGGGAGGTCCGAGCCTGCTGACAATGTGATTAACAGTTAAAATCATGTTTTTGCTTTTGTAACTCTCGCTGAATGCTTTTATGTGTACTTGGAAAAAGGACTATTAAAAACAAGGTTATGAAGAGAGCTACTCTTAACACACATCCGAAGAAATCCAAAGGCAGGGTTTTATGCGATGCGCAAATGTAGCGTCCAACCAATGGCAGGGTTTTATGCGATGCGCAAATGTGCGTCCAACCAATGGCAGGGTTTTATGCGATGCGCAAATGTGCGTCCAACCAATGGCAGGGTTTTATGCGATGCGCAAATGTGCGTCCAACCAATGGCAGGGTTTTATGCGATGCGCAAATGTGCGTCCAACCAATGGCAGGGTTTTATGCGATGCGCAAATGTGCGTCCAACCAATGGCAGGGTTTTATGCGCTGCGCAAATGTGATCCAAACCAATGGCAGGGTTTTATGCGATGCGCAAATGTGCGTCCAACCAATGGCAGGGTTTTATGCGATGCGCAAATGTGAGTCCAACCAATGGCAGGGTTTTATGCGATGCGCAAATGTGCGTCCAACCAATGGCAGGGTTTTATGCGATGCGCAAATGTGCGTCCAACCAATGGCAGGGTTTTATGCGATGCGCAAATGTGCGTCCAGTCCAGAGGGACACACAACATTATTCACTGTACTCACAACACATCTTTGACTTTGCTAAGTATTTGGTTGTTTCTTTCAGAGCAGTTACATGCATCATTTCACCCACCAGTCCACATGATCAATGATTTATCCCAGGCTCTAAAGAAATTATCAAAATTATCTCTACACTGTAACTTCACAGGACCCTTACATTGCCTGCAAGGACCCTTAAAACTAATAACTGGGGGTCTCTGGGACCCCCATGTTTGTGAGTCGAGGTAAAACCCTGGAATGGTTTAACCCATTCTCATCAGTGCAGTGCATGACAAGAAACAGTCACCAGGCCTACCAAAGAAAACTTTGCCACTGTGTAGAAAAATGCAGAAAAGCCCACATTAAGTGAGTGAGTGAGTGAGTTTGGTTTTACGCCGCTTTTAGCAATATTCCAGCAATATCACGGCTGGGGACACCAGAAATGGGCTTAACACATTGTACCCATGTGGGGAATCGAACCCGGGCCTTCTGCGTGACGAGCGAACGCCTTAACCACTAGGCTACCCCACCACCCCGCCCACATTAAGCGTGGAAATAGCAACATAAACATAAAACCTCGCTTTCCCAATAACGATGCTGAATATAACAGTAAAACTATATCAACATAACAATAACTAAGCTTATGCTGCATGAAAAGTGCATCATGTGAAACAGATCTTGGATAATCATTTAACTATGCAGTTGTAACTTATACCTTTACGTCTGTGAAAAGAATTTTGATTACTTTAAACTGGTGTCTTCCTCAAAGCTGTTACTGATCATGATGAAACTAATATTCTGTATTTATATTTTCCTAATATTTGAATAATAATATATATGTCAGGGTAGAGACTGCGATCTGGTAGAATCGGAGATTCTACCAGTAGAGATTGCGATCGGAGTCTCTACCAGTAGAGATTGCGATCGGAGTCTCTACTGGTAGAATCTCGATCCTACTAGTAGAGATTGTGATCGTAGTCTCTACTGGTTGAATCGGAGATTCTACCAGTACATTTTCCCATTCTACTGGTAGAAACTCTGATCCTACTAGTAGAGGCTGCAATCGTCTTCAACTGGTAGAAACTCGAGTGATCTGTGGGTAAACAACAAAGACACCTTTTCTGAACAGTACTATGCATTTTATTCAGATATAACACTAGACTGTTTCCACTTCTACATATATATTAAGCAGTTAACTGGCAAACATTAAACTTAGTAGTTTTAAACAACAATAAATTACAATATGTACTCAAACTTAAACTAAAGTAAAGGTCGAGCATTGCCTCAACAATGACGCGAGCTTATAAATTCCCCACCAGGTCATTACCCCATCTGCCATATCCCCACCTGGTCATTTCCCCACCTCTTTGGAAAGCAGTGTTTTTTATAACAATTACTGATCATAAGTTTTGAAATACATCTGAATGAACTTCCTACTTTTAACTGAGACTTTGATAACAAACATTTAAAACACCTCACTGTAAACAATATCAAAATAAAAAATACAAATGGTTTGTAGCACTGTATTTACATCATGAGACCAAGCTGCCAAATTTGGACTCCACTCAAAAAACATAAACAAAATACCTTACTCCAAAACAGACTTAACAAATAAAGTTAACAAGATAACAATAAATAAGTTCAAATATAACTGGCAAATAATAGGAAAACATTATCCCCACTTATTATACTTGCTTGCATAAGCTTGCACTTGCTTGCATAGGTTATTCCATATAATCGTAGTCTCTACCAGTAGAGACTACGATTGCAATCTCTACTAGTTGGATCAGAGATTCTACCAGTAGAGACTCCGATCGCAATCTCTACTGGTAGAGACTCCGATCGCAATCTCTACTGGTAGAATCAGAGTCTCTACCCTGACATATATATCGCTTGTAGTGGTAATAATGAATAATGAATTTTTGTATGAATTAATACTCCATAATAATCCAATAAATGATACACTGTCTGTATCCCTTGAATCCCCGGTGTGTGACTCCAGAAGGGAAATGTTTGTTTGATCACTGGATTGTCTGGTCCAGACTAGATTACTTACAGACTGCCATTATATAGCTGGAATAGTGCTGAGTGCAGCGCTAACCAAGCAAACAAACAATTGCCTTTTCGAGTCATTCAACAGTTTACTCGAATTTCGATTATTCATTTGTTTGTTATTTAAAACCACTTTCTACAATATTCCAGCCATAAGCTGGACCAGACAATCGACTAACTGACACCATGAGCATGCAACTGGGATATGATAAATGTTCTCACCAGATCTCGTCAGTTGCGTTATCAGAACACGGCTTGAAAACCAAGTCTTACCCAGACCCTATACGTCAATCGCATGTATACAACCACGACAATATCTATATGTCAATATAAATATAATACCCAAATAAATATGGTATTTACTGCCATTCAGTACACTGTATTTATTATTATTATTTAGCTATTAAAACATTTAATGATAAATATGCTATATACTGGAACAATACCCCATACAATATGGACTTACAAGCTTTTAACCTTTTTGAATTAATCGCCATGATTTTAGACCTTTTTTTCTATTGTTGGCTGATCGAAAATGCTTTCATGATACCAGTTACAAAACCCCCGGCTGAGCATTCATCTCTGAATAGAATCCTCCTAATAGAATTATACAATTACAAACTAGCTTCAAAATCCCTCTGGCTGTAGGCCTAATGGAACATTGCAAAGACCTTGACAGAAATATTAATGACAGCTCAAGCGTAACCAATTTTGGTGATTTCAAATCACATACTCAAGTACAAATAAATCCCTTATGATTATGTCTTTTAATCAGCTAACGGAATGCAGCCATCAATCATTATTTACTTCACATGTACCCTCTCAACCATGCAACAAGAGGCACTACAAAATCCATCTACATAGAAAACGTGACGATCTTAATTCAAACCTCTTAACATACAAACTACTTTAAACTGACGCAGAATTAGATGGGAAATGTACACAGAAGTAATTGTATCGCGTAAATGAAGTTAGGTGAATGCACAAGAAACATGCTAGATTGGCTAGCAGCTGGACATAGACTTGAGCCCCCAGGAACGGCGCTCCCCTGGCACCAATAATGGTAGAAACCCATTTCCATTTAACAATTACCCTAAACGGCAGATGTATCTCGAGATAACTCCGAGTAACAAGCAACTTCTCGAGGAGCTACAAGAGTGAGGAGCTCTGAATGATATTGACCAATCAATAGAAGGGATCAAGTCGGCTTACTGCTAATCAGGGAGGTGTGACCAATCAGGATGCAGACAACTTGGGTCAATAAAACTGTTCCGCCATAACGGTCAGTGTCTTTGAATCAGCCAACCACCATTTTGATTCTTGCAGTTAAAAGATTATAAGCTTAGAACATCTTTGAATATAAAATATTGAATTTATTCCTGAATGTCCTGATTTAAACAATGTTCTAATCTATATTCCAACATTTTCAGATCTGAAGATACAGGGCTTAGTGTCGCCATGCATCCTCTTCACCCTCAAAAGATCCATCGCAAGACTGACTGACTGACTGAGTTTAGTTTTACGCCGCTTTTAGCAATATTCCAGCATCATCACGGCGGGGGACACCTGAAATAGGCTTCACACATTGTACCCATGTGGGGATTCGAACCCGGGTCTTCAGCGTCACGAGCAGACGCTTTAACCACTAGGCTACCCCACCGCCCCCCATCGCATTATATCCTCCCACCCACAAGATCCTACCCCAGAAAGTCCTCTACCCACAAGATCCTACCCCAGAAAGTCCTCTACCCACAAGATCCTACCCCAGAAAGTCCTCTACCCACAAGATCCTACCCCAGAAAGTCCTCTACCCACAAGATCCCACCCCAGAAAGTCCTCTAAGATCCAGCAAGCCCAGAAAGTCATCCACCCACAAAATCCCACCCAGAAAGTCATCCACCCACAAGATCCCACCCTAGAAAGTCATCCCCACCCACAAGATCCCACCCCCTAAAGTCATCCACCCACAAGATCCCACCCTAGAAAGTCATCCACCCACAAGATCCCACCCCAGAAAGTCATCCACCCACAAGATCCCACCCTAGAAAGTCATCCACCCACAAGATCCCACCCCAGAAAGTCATCCACCCACAAGATCCCACCCCAGAAAGTACAATCTTCCCACCACAAGATCTGGCTCCTGACACCCCTCCTACCCCTGAGATCCCACCCCCACTCACCAGGTCATAGGGACAGTGCTCCGCCGCCGTCAACACCTGCTTCATCTGCTGGACATACGTCCCCTCCCTCCGCAACTGCAACAAGAAGCACAAAATCAGCACTAAAACACACATGCCATTCATCTTCCACCACCAGGAAAAGTTGATTTGACAAAATTATATATTGACTAAGTAACAGCTAGTCTCTGCAGTTCCTTAATAATAGTGAGTGAGTGAGTGAGTGAGTTTAGTTTTACACAGCACTCAGCAGTTACTGGGTTACGGGTCAATATTCCAACCCGAACCTTTACGGGTGTCCTAAACTATAGAGTGAGTGAGTGAGTGAGTGAGTGTCAATAGTGAGTGAGTGAGTGAGTGAGTGAGTGAGTGAGTGAGTGAGTGAGTGAGTGAGTGAGTGAGTGAGTGAGTGAGTGAGTGAGTGAGTGAGTGAGTGAGTGAGTGAGTGAGTGAGTGAGTGAGTGAGTGAGTGTTTGTGTGTGTGTTTGTTTGTTTTTTGGGGGGGTTGTAGCCTAATGGTTAAAGCGTTCGCTCGTCATGCCGCAAACCCGGGTTCAATTCCCCACATGGGTACAATGTGTGATGCCCATTTCTGGTGTCCCCTGCCGTGATATTGCTGGAATATTTCTAAAAGTGGCGTAAAACCAAACTTACTCACTCACATTATGATTTTTTTTTAACCTCCAATTTTGTAAGCATTATATTCATAAATAATCCATATCTAACAGTTCAACAATGTAATTCATGTTACTGATGATGAACGATTGTAAAATGTTACACTGACTGTCATTTCAATGAAAAAATCTGTTTTAATGATTTCACTACTCAACATGGATAACAGGACCCTTACCAAAATTTCACAAATGGGAACTGAAATTACTTCAATCAGAACTCTTTTTTTCCTCTCCCTCCATCAAACCTGTTAACTAATTTCAGGAATGACAAAAATACTTCAAAGGTCAGTTGTGAGGGAAGTAGTTCTCGACTTGTCATATTTCAATTTTCTTTTTTCTTTATTTTCTCAGACTGACACGACTTTAAAACAATTGCCATACATTCATTCAATCATTCATTATTTTTCTCAAACCATTCATCAGCCATGGAATGTCATACCTTTCCTAGCTCGAGGGAAAGGTGATGATCAGATGATAAAAGTCTTTTAGTCACAAAAATGGTTTTCATTAAGTAAGTGAATGAGTTGTTTTCCGTAGATTTTAGCAATATCCAAGCAATATCATGTTGGAGACACCAGAAATGGGCTTCACATGTCGTACCCATGTGGAGAATCTAACACAGGTCTTTGAGACAAGCAAACAATTTAACCACTAAGCTACCTCACTGCCTCAGTTTTCATGACGATATGAGACAGTTTTTATACCATGTATCATCTATGATGCTGTGACTATACCCAAATTATTACAAAATTGTTGTCGCTGAAGGTAAATTACTACCCATCAACAGTTTATACTCACTTTAAGCACTCACTATATGTTATGTCTATATGGTTACATCGAAGACTAATTTCTCCACTAACTTGGGGGAACCAACTGCAAACCTTATGCAGATGAATTGCACGAGGATCATGCATCAAATTGCTGAAAAGCATGTGCAAATATCGTGCATGTGAACAGCTGCATTTTGGTGTAAATTTTTATTAAGAATTCACCAATTTCCATCATTTATTGAACTCATGACAACAATCCTTCAACGTTACAAATTTGTTTCACAATACATCAGTTCATGTGTAAACAGTAGCTTTAAACACTATGGAATATCTTGCAAAATCTAGTTTAGAACTGTTGACTGAAGTAAGTGGCTACATTTTTCCAAGTAAGTCTAAACTTTAGTTTAGTAGTATATATACTGGTATATAGTCTGATATAAAAATATAAACATAGTAAATAAATACTGCACAAACTGATATTGATCCACCAGTGCGCACATCTCCGACCCCCATCAGAAAATTGTCTGTTTTTTTAAAGTCCCTAGCAAACATCAAGATGCATTTTGTTCCACTAGTAATTACCTTTCACTTTCTTCTTTTGTAACAAAAACCCCCAGCCAAGAATAACAATGGCCAAATCTATGGGCAAGAGGAAGCGCCTGACACAGGATATCGTAAACGAAGTTGCGAGTAACACCGAGGCTGGTAGATGTCTGCAACAATGCCGACTCCCACATCACAAACCAACTTATATATCAAAGCCTGATTTTGTTCAGTTACTAACACCTCAGGTAGATCTCCACCTGTCTTCTTCTAACAACATACCCATACATCTCAGCCACAACTTTCTTAATCTCCTCACTATAAAGCCAATCAACATAAAAAGATTTAAAAATGGTTTCAGCCACAAATAAATGAACTTAAACCCTGGACTCATATCTTATGAATGTCTTGACAGGTGGACAGTTTCAACAACAAGAGCCTATCTAAGAATATACAGTTACCGAATTCTGTGTTATATTGAGGGGGCACCTTGCGACAACCCCCAACAACTGGGACAGAAATGGTTGTTTCGTTCCAGGCTTCAAGCTCTTTGAAGTGGCTTCTCTACTTTCATTTATCATCATTAAGAAATGATAGGGCTTGCAGACTGTGCTAGCCTGTATTAATTATTATCACCAAATCCTGGCCCCAAGATAAGACACTGAAAAACTGCCACCAGGGGTCACTGCGGATCAATTAGAATTGCAAGTAGGGTGAAATGCCTCTCCTAAGATTGAGTCTGGTGGGGCAAAGAAACTTAACCCTTTCATCCCCTTGATTCCTATGGTGGAGCCGGCCTATCTTTGATCACAAAGTCTGGAAATCCATTACAAGGGTTAGCAGGTTAATGTGGAAATAGTGTAACACAATTATGGGAACGTTATGAATATTCCAGTTTGGAATTTCAAACTGGAAATACAAGAAACTTGATTTTGTCAAAAAAGTACCAGTTTTGCAATAAATTGGATAATTTTCTTTTGTTGTATTGTGGTTGTATAACTATACAGTGACACAATGCTTTGAATAACTGGAATATTCATCCTTAATTTCAAACATGAAACGAGGGTCTTATCAGCATGGATGAATGCTTCTAAAATCACACATTTCATTAATAAACATCAATCGCGGATGTTTACAGCTCGCCACGGCCTCCGCAAATAAATCATTTTGATCCGAGTTCACAGGTGACTGAGACGAAATATGATAAGTAGAGTCTTAAACTTACACAATTGATTTCTTGTAATCTGATACACCAGCCACAAATGTCCTTCGAGAGTCAACATCACACAGTTTTATCTTGATCGATGTCTATACCAAGACTTAGCTAACAAACCAACAGAATTGTTTGACGTTCTCTACCCTCAAGCTACAAACGCCATGACCAGGGAATACGAACGGGAAGACCATAAAACCACGAGTGGCTGCTGGTATTCCACTTGTACCTATATTTATGGCTGTTAGGGACTATATTCTTCTGTAGTTAATCAGTTATTTGTTTAAAGTAGGTGTGTATAAGTCACCTACACACATTCTCCAGGTAATGTTAGATGCAATGGGCCACTACAAGCCAAGGCAGGAGAAGGTCTTACTTAGACCTGCTCAGATACTAAAAATTTCATTCTTAAGTCTACAAAAACTGCCAGTAAAATGTCTTTAAAAAAACCTTTCTATTTCATATTAATAACGTTTTACCTAATGCTATGTTTTTATACAGGTAATTTGTATTTCCTGACACCAGGACAAATACAGAGGACACCTTTTGCTCAGTTTCACTGCAGTAAATTTTGGGAAAATATGAACATTAAAAAATTCCAAATTTGGACATCATTTCAAATTGTCTGACAGTGGTCCATCGTTTAGAGCCCTGGGTAAATCCCTTACAAAGTAGTTACATCTTCTAAATGTCACATTTTCTTGTCAAGTCTAAATGAGAAACATCAGTACAACAGGTGTCATAAACACCTGTAAGGAAGAAAACAGTATGTTAATGTCCCTGTCTTACAAACCCGGAAACAAATATACCCAATACAGCCCATGCAAGTCAAGAATTAAGTCCAGATTAACACAAAGTAAGTCTCTTGTCTCCTTTTCATCATTTTTTATGATTTTAATTTAGGCAGAGCTCCCGATAAGATTTAGCTCATGTGGGTACTGTACCCACTATATTTTTTTGGAGTGGGTATTATGAATGTTGAGTTGGTATTTCATTTTCCGTTACCCACTGCTTTCAAACATGTGCGTATTTCAGTCATTTTACTCACCTAAGTATTATGTCATTGGGTAAGTTTACTAAGCAGGTATGTTCTGCCTGATGTCAAACCTAATCAAAACCAACTTAAATATAATGGAAATGATTCCATAAAAAATCACTCATCCTATACTGACAGTACAACACTATTCCTATACTAACAGTACAACTTCATAGCAATCGATGTCTTTTTCATTACGCAAGCGATTTTTATAAATATATTCTGTACGCATTTGTTTTAAACTTTTTTCGTATCTAACATTTTAAATGCGTAATTGGTACGCAACAATTATATTTCAATGCATAATTGAAAATTTTCTATACATATTTTACCTGGATACGCAGCTTATCTGGGCCTCTGATTTAGGAACCATTTTGTCTGTAAACTATGTTCATTTCAGAGACTAGATGTTAGTCTGAGGCTGTGAGAAACACTTCTAAACCAGCTCATCTACATATAAACTATTTACAAACCCAACTAGACACCTCCCAGCCCTCAAACTGACATCAAGTAATGTTCATCATCCAAGGAGACGGTGGGGTAGCCTAGTGTTTAAAGGATTAGCTCGTCACTCCGAAGACCCGGGTTTGATTCCCAACATGGGTACAATGTGTGAAGCCCATTTCTGGTGTCCCCTGCCGTGATATTGCTGGAATATTGCTTAAAGCAACATAAAACTAAACTCACTCACTCATCCCCCAAACAACCTTGACCTTGCTATTATGTTAGATCATGTAAAGGTTGAGGTTTCAAGTTAATCTGGGATTCAAAGCATCATTAAATCCTGTTGAGGACAGATTCAGGCAAATCATCGTGAATCTGGGATTCGAACCCAAGTAAAA